AAAAAAAAAAAAAAAAAAAAAAATTTAGGAAAAAATCGTTTTCTACGCAACCGATAAATAACGAGTCATTTTAAACGACAGTCTCCATCGACTTGCCCTGCACGTGTGTACATATATATACATATACGTATATACGATATGATGCGCGCGCGCGTTCATACGGATGAGCATCGCGCGTGTTTTGCAACGGGCGTGACTCGCGATATTCGTCACTGCCTGTTTTACCGTGACCACGAACGGGAGACACACTGGACAGCGGCCGAGTTATGGCAAGGAAGAAGGCGAACGGTCGAGGTTGAGCAAGGTTTGAAGTAGCTGATACCGCGTGTAGTCTCCGCTGAATCGTACGTGAACACTGTGTGTCGCCTAGCGCTTTTTCGACAGACCTTCGCTGCACCTGATGCTTCGCCTCGTCGCGGACCTGTCCAGCATTCCGATACGATTGCTAGAAACATCTTGGCGATCATGCCAAAGCACTGACCTCGTTTAATCGGGCTAACGCGCGAATCTGCTTCGAGGGATAAGTCGAAAACGTGGAACGAAATGTTCGAGATAACCGGTTCTCAAAAATTCGGACCGTAAATGCCACGATGCTTAACGCGCGAATCCGGAAAGAGCAATAATTTAATACCGAGAGTACGTGGAAGATAGAGTTCTCGAAAACTACGCGATAGTCGAAAAATATTTTGTTCCACATTTTCGATTTATCTTTGGACTCGAAATTTGGTACGAATACGGAAAATAAACGAGACTGTATCCGGTACGACGAAGCAATCATACGAATACGTGGTTTCTAGCCATCGTTCCAATGTGTACGGGCCTTTAAACGAGGCAGCGAAATTCTTCCGAATTTCGACGAAATATAACTCGAGCGTCTGTCGATAAAGCGTCGGGCAGTGAAGAACGTTTCTCCACAATTCGTCGAACTCGTGAGTATTTTCCGGGGGATCACCCGCGTGGTGAAGTCCCGAACGGTCGAAATCGGCTGGACCGACGCCGCGACGTTGCAGATGGCGCTTCGTCGCCGTACTTCGCGAGAGGGCGCGACGATCTGGAAGAGAAAACTGCCTGGAACGGAAGGAGTCTTCGACAGGTTCGATCATCGTGTCGAATTTTCCTTTCAAATATAACGCGTCGAGTGATTTCGAGGTGAGACAACTCGCGTCCTGCGCTCGATGTTCCTTTTCCTTCCCCTCTCTCTCTTTTTCTCTCAATCTCTCTCTATCTCTATCTCGGACCGTTTCGCGAAGTCTCTCTTCGACGGTGTATAAAAAAATATCTCTCTCTCTCTTTTTCTCTCTCTCATTTCGCGCACGCTGTTCCGCGGCATTCTCGCGCCGAACAGTTCACAATGAGAATGACATTGTTATTAATAATAATATTAATATTCATAATAATAATAAAACGCAATAATAATATTAATATTACCCACTAATTAACGTTACATCTAGACGCTTTTATTATGCTTTAAGTTTCTTTCTTTCTGCAGGTACGGTTACGTTCGTTCTCTTTTACTTTTTCGCATCGCGAGGAAAATCGTCGCGTCTCGCGGGTCCATCTGCGTTCACTTCCTCGTGCCTCCGTTGTTCGAGTCTCCTCGAACGCGTTCGGCTGCCTAGACGCCATTTCGGTTCCGCACTTGGCGGGCAAAACAAACGAATTCTCGATAAATATATAACACCGCGTTGTCGAGAGGAATTTCGCAACGCGAGATAATTAGAACACTCTTTTTCTCTCACTCTCTCTCTCTCTCTCTCTCTCTCTCCCGTTCAAAAATCCTCATAACAGCTAACGTTTACCGATCACGCGCTCGGTACCATTGTCCTTTCTCTCCTCTTCGACATCCAAACGCCCAATCGACGATCTCGTTCTCGAACAAACGAATCGGTTCTCAGGGAAAGACCGCCGCCGACGAATAAATATCGTTTCATCTTCGAACATCGAAACCACGACTAAGTAAAAGGAAAACAACCGCTCGCTACAAAGGCAACAACGTCGCCGACCATCTTTCCCTGCGCTCGACTCTACCGATATGTAACCGTGCGAACGCGGCTTAACGACACCGTGAAAATTTGGCACAAGTTTCTTCCTCTCTCTCCCTCTCCCTCTCTCTCCCCCTCTCTCTTTCTCTTTCTTCTCGGGGGGACAGGAACGTCGCGAGGAGATCGCGAGGAGATCGCGAAACGTTCGCTGTTCCCGATGATCGGTAGCGTCTCCATGTTGCGCGAGTCGAGCCTTCGCGCACCGTTTTCGTGAACCTTCGATGCGGACATGCGTAAACAGACACGCAAATTGCCGCGGGAATGCTTTCAGACTGTTTCCGTTTCACGTGCAAGAGTATCGATCGAGAAGGAGGATCGTTCAACGAAGACTCGATGCTCGAAGCGATCGTCCCGACGACGAAGGAATTGCTCGCTTGGAAAATAAAACAAAACGGATCGCGCTGACCCGTGAGAGTCCCTCGACTTCGTAATCCTGGAATAGTCCACGCGAACCGTGGTCGTCGCTGGGAGGATCCTCGAACAGCCACGTCCTCGACGAACAACGAACAACTGCGGAAGATGAACGTGGCACGAGTCGGTTTGGGAAAGCAACGGGGGAAGACGAAGGAATTGCGGTAATACTGTTGGGAGTCCCGGTGCGGAGACTCGCGTGAAATTTGAAGATCGACAGGAAGGGATTCCGATATGACGGTAACGAGAGCGCGTTTAACGTTAGGAAAATAGCAAAATTGCTGGATAACGAAAAATTCCCTTAACTCTAACTTGATCGTACGCCCTCGCCAATAGTCGAGCCAATTCCACCGAGGCGAATCGATCATGCCGCCTTCCATCGTTGCCCTTCGCGAGCCTCGTGTCCTGTCATCGCCGTCGTCGAGACCTTGCAACCTCGGTCCCGTAGCTGTTCGTCGAAGCTGGTCGTCCTCCTCCTCTTCCTCCTCCACCGCCTCCTCTACCACCATCTCCACCTCCTGCTCGAAATCCGCTCGGCATCGCGGCTGAGAAACGCGGCGGTCATCCACCTGGCCGTCGTCATTCGGCCTTGATCGTTGCCGACGGGAAGGCCATCTCCTGCGCAAACGTGGGGCTATCCTCGCCGGCAAGGAGGCCAGGTTCGCTCTTAGGCGTCTGTACGTCGGGAAATCTGGCGTGGGTCCTCAAATGCCTGGTGATCATGTCTCTGCGACAGGCGGCGTACGCGCACTGCGGACACTTGTACGGCTTCTCGCCCGTGTGCGTCCTCTGATGGGTGCTCAGGTGATCCGACCTGCTGAATACCTGGCCGCAAACCTTGCACGTGTACGGTTTGACGCCCGTGTGCAGTCTCATGTGTCTGGTGAGCATGTCCGACCTGGCGAAACTCCTCTTGCACACGTCGCACAGGTACGCCTTCGCGGACGCGTCCTGGGGACCCTGTCTGCGATGCCTCGAGGCCATGTGCTTGGCCAGTCGATCGTGCAGGCTGAACATTTGACCGCAGATCGGGCAAACGTACGCGACGTCCGCTCCCGGCGGCATCTCCTCGACCACGGGAGACACCTCGAGCTTGTATCTCACGGCGACGCTCTCCTTGGTCGTTGGCGACGCCACGTCGCCCTTTACCACTGGCACGCTTACCGAGCCCCTCGACACGATACCCGGCGGGAGCAACTGGAGGGCAGGCGGTCTACCGGAAACCGCCGCCGCAGCGGCCGCCGCGGACGCCATCAGGTTCTTCATCGAGAGGTCCAACGGCGACTCTTGAGGACTCGTGGTGTAGCTCTCAGAGCGGTGGCTTCTGGTCCCATCCCGGCACCACGTCCGAGTCCGAGTGACTGCGTCCTCTGAATATATCCGGCAGGTACTTGGTGTGCATGTAGTGCTCGAAGCTGTACGACGACAGGAATCCCGGCGTCAACGGCGGCAAAGTGAGCGGAGTGAGCGGGGTGAGCGGCGTGAGAGGAGTCAACGGGGAGGTCGGCGGTGGTTGCACCATCGGAGGGGTGGTGGACTGGGAACACTGAACGCAGGTGCATCCGGCGTAGTTGCTCGCCGAGGATCTCTGATGAGGCGGGTGGAGCTGATCGTAGAGGTGATTCGCGTTGTTTCTGTGATGATGCCTGTGCCGGTGACGATGATGATGCGAGTGATGGTGCGGATGATGAGAATGATGATTCTGTTGCTGATCCGAGCTGTTCGACTCGTTCGCGTTCCCCTCCTCCTCGGTAGGCGTCACGGGCTCCTCGCTCTTCAGCCTGAGGGGTAGCAGGCTGATGCCCAGCGGCGGATCCGTGGCCGATCTCGAGGACGACCTCGGCGAACCGAACACGTCCTCCTCCTCCGACGCGGGCCCGCTGCCCTCGAACCTCAACACCTCGCCCTCGGACGGCGAGCTACGGTGTTGCAGGATGTCCAACACTTGGTCCAGTCGTTTCCGTCTGCGGTAGTTCCGATGGTTTCGGTTCGCTGTCGCCGCCAGGGTGTTATTGTTGGTACAGGAGGGCGGTGGCGGCTTGGCCGGACCCGGGGGCGCGGCTGCAGCGTCCTCCACGGCGCTCTCGGCCATCGTCATCGAGGATGCGCGGCACCCGCCGCCTGGGCCCTTTATGCCGCCTACTACACCCTCGGCTACCACCGTACTGCCTCCCACCTCGTCCTGAAACAACCAAACCACGCCACTCTTATTTCTCTTGCCTTCCCTGTAATCTCGGATATTGTTAAATTACAGCCTCCGCGGCGCGCTCATTTCCGATTGCTTATGAGATCGCTCGACGCGCGTAATTTCATGAATCATCCTTTTAGTGCCGGACGCGCATGCGGATCTCCGGCATGCACGCGCTACGCTTACGCGACCTTATCTCGCTGTTATCCGCTCTACGAATTCGCCATTACGAGCCGCTCAAAGGGATCCGCGTCGTCATTAGAGACGACGAGGTGGAGGTGGAGGAGGAGGAGAGAGAGCGTCGGGTCCCGTCTTCTGCTTACCGAATCCGCGCAACGAAGCAGAGGCGCGACGAGGAAACAGGAGGATAGCGGAGTGTCTTTCGATCGGCTGGCAGGATATCGATCCACGCAACTGGAGATCGGTCGCGGAGGCGTCCACCGTCCACGGAGATCGGCGTCGCGGTCGTAGTAAATCACTATGAACGCGTTCGCGCGTTTTTTCCGTCGAGACGGTGCGGGTCGACCGTCTGTCATCGAGCCCGGCGTAGCCATTGAATAAAAGGTGCGACGATCGCGCGATCGATCTCGCTCCGGTCGAATCGAGCCGAGTCGATCCGTCGATTTCGAGTCTATCCGTTTAAAATCCCACGAGTGTTTACCGATGGTAGGGGCCGCGTCGGAGCAACGATACGGTGAATCGATCCTCGCGATCGGCGAACACCGGTCGTCGTCGTCGTCGCCGCCTCGTCCTCCGCGAGGGAGCAAAAATTTCGCCGTCCGTTTATTTTAATGGAACGCGGTGCACGGACCACACGGCTCGTCTTGTTCGACGCGACAACGGCACTTTGTCATAAAACCACGTGCAAGCGGAGAGGTGTATCCGGCGGACTATTTGAAATTTAAATGGCGCGCGAGAGAAGCAGGCACGGCGAGCGCATGAATCAACGTGTACAAACGACGAATCGAGCTAAACCCCCCGTTTTTCGGTGTAGGCGACTTTCCGTCCCGGCCCCGAGAAGTTGCAGGGCCCGTCGTGGGGACGCCATAAAACTTGCAATATCGCCTGCCGCGCGTCCACCGCGCTGCCCCCTCCGCGGCCAAGATAATTGATCGCCGGGGATTACCGTGATCGCGACATCCGCGATTGTTTATCGGCAACGCGTACGCGAAATTAGGGAACCGCGGGTATGCGGGAATAACGCGAAAATTAAATTTACGCAACAGGAACGCGATAAATCGCCGGAGAAACCCACCGTCTTCCTTACGAAATCGCGTCTCGTACAAAACCGATATTTACAACCGCGTTTCTCTCGTTGGAGGAACAGGGTAATCTCTTCTCGCGTCGACGAATAAAGCGAGCCGCCGTTTCTTCTACCGTATTTTCCCTCACTTTGTCACGACAGGCTAGCACGGGAGTTTGCTCGATCACTCGACGCATCGCGGATCGAATTCCTTGCCACGATGGAAAACGAAAGAAAACTCTGTGCCGGGTTTTTCATCCCGAGCGCTCGCTGCGCCGAGTGAAACGCACGCGCGAGCCGCGTCGATTATCTAAATTACCCGCGGTAAATTAGACGGGGACGTGGATCGTTTAAATTTTCGATCGCGATTTATTGCCGCGATTATGCGTAAAATATATACCCGGTGAGCAGCCGAGCGGTCTCGCGCCGATGAAACGTGCCGCCATTTTACGACGAGGCGAGCAAGGGGGGGTCCGCGAGGCTCCCCGCGACGCGCCACCGGGGAACGTCGATTTTCCAGCAATTAGTCGCGTCCACGAGAATAGAAATTCGCGTTCCCGGAAGACGAATCCGCGACACACGTGTCCCGGCTAGGAGGGACTTTCTTCCACCGGCTTCGCGAGCCTGTCGCATTCCCGCGCGTACGCGCGCAGTTTACCGCTCTTTCCATCCGATTCGATTCGATTCCCCGTGTTCCTCTCGCCGGCGCGCGCGGATCCTTTCATGGAGAGGCGGCCGAACGCCTTGACGCGGTATCAAAGCGCGGAAAGTGCTCGCTCCGCGGAAACTTCGCGGCAACGCGCGCGCTGAATTACGCGAAGGTACGCGCCGCACCGCTTGCGACACGCAGCAGAACGGCCTTCGACTTTACGCCTCCGCCGGGAGTTCGTGAAATTGCCTCGGGCGGGGGGCCAGGGGATGCCTGCCTGATGGCTGACGCACGAAGATCGGATGATTCGAAGAACGCGAGCGCGAACTCGCGCGTGGAGGTGTGGTGAAAGGTATTGGGGGGAGGACTGCGAGATCCGTTCCAGAGAGCGGAATATTTTTGAAAAATCGGGAAAAGCTAAAAAAAAAATGGGAATGCGGTAGAAAATAAATTACGTGTTGGAAACCGTGGGAAAAAACCGGTGGAATCTGGAAGAATTCCGAAGGAATAACTCGTTTCGGGTACGCCTGTATCTTAATTACCGATCTATAACGATCTACGAGATATCTAGTAGTCCCTGTTTATCTCTCAACGGGATCGTGAATCCCGTTGAAAAATTACATTCGCAATTATTTCTGAAACCGGTGTCAATGGATGTTCGACGCCACGGGGCCCTAGTCGGAGGAGACGAACCGAGCTATAACGATCGGCGAGAGGGCTTCCGAGCGAAGCAAGTTCGTAACGCGTGGTCTAGATGGTGGATAGGGTGGGTATCGTTGGAGCACAGGGTGCCATTGGTCAGACGTTAGGCCAGACGGACGCCGCCATAACCCCTATCGTGGCGATCTCGCTTGGCGCACAGGGGCGGCCGTGGATGGACCGGGATTTTCCGTGGCGCGGAAAGATATCGGCGTTCGCCGCGATATTCGTATCGGGCATCGAGAGATCGACTGTCGGATAGCGAGTCTCACGGCGGTCCGTTGGGCGTCCCTGTTCATCCCAGCGCGATGATCGTCCGCTGGTTTCCCTCGTTCCTCCCTTTTCCCTTCGCCTCGTGGCAGGCCGGCACGGTCGGTAGAATCTCGCTGAGAGAAAGGGCCCCGATGATCGGTCGTAAAACGTAAAGGGGACTCGTAAACGGAGTGAAAAGATGTCAGAACGTAAAAGCCGAGAACAGGTCCCCGACGAGGAGGTGTGGGCGTGCGTGGCTGCCATCCTCTTCCCCTTTTCGTTTCTTCGTCTTCTATTTCTTCCCATTTCTCTCTTTGCTCATCCTCCACCACCACCTTCGTTTCTTCTTCTTCTTCTTTTTCTTCTTTTCTCCGTGTTCCTTCTGCCTGCAATCCCCCTGGCAGGACAACACCGAGCAGTTGCTCCGCGTCGGACGATTATTCCGCTCGCAGAGTCCGCCGGCGAAGGCTCGAGGAGAGATCGACGCGCACGAAACCGTCGGACTTTGGTGAAACTAGACTCGCGCCTCGCTCGCGATCTCCCTTTCTCTAGATCTCACGGGGAGAGACCCTGTCTCCGACAGGCACCGTCGAAGGGCATTTAGGAAAGCTTAATGGTCCGCCGGTTGCGTTTTCAGGCTGATCCGGCCGGACGGACACACGCGGCCGCGTCGGCGTTCGAAGAAATCAGCGACGGGCGTCGCTTTGCGTCACCCATTGCGCAATCCGATTACCGTGTTACGTTAGAGAGGAGAAACTTAATCGTCTCGTTAGATTCCACCGCGTCGCGGGTACCCGACTCGTCCGGCGTCCTCGTGTCTCTTTTTCGAAAAAGGGAAAAATCGTCGCGCGGACTCTCGGCGTTCTCGTGGAACGCGAGGAATCGGGCCGAGAGGGAAAGGGGCCGGCGGGTGGAAGGGAAATTCGGCGAGGCGGATTCCTCGGGGACCGATTTTGACCGGAGTCGGTAAGCCGCGACGCGGCTGCGGCAGGAGAATTTGCAGGAGGGCCGGGAGAAGATCATCGGTGAAGAATTCCAGCAGGAACCCTCGGGGAGGCACCTGTAACCGCGGCTCGACGGGAGAAACAGAACAGGTTGAGACATGGGCGTGGGTGGAGCGCTTGATCTTTCTCTCCCGCTCGATCTGTCCATATACCGGGTGCTCCGCTGGTCAAGCGATGGCTACGACCTGCTCGCGAGTACGCTCCGTAAAATCGTTTACTCCTACACCCGTTTCTCTCCGCTCCCTGCGCGATATCGCGATCGTGCCTTCGAAATAACGCGGCAACGGTGGACGAGGATCGAACGAAACGGGAATCAAAGAAACTCGCGGTACCCGCATCGCGCGCCGATCTTCCCACGTCGCAAAGCGAACCCTCTTTCTCGCGGGGCTCGTTAACTGGGAACAGCTGTACATCGTCCTTCCATCCACGAGCACCCTCATCGGAGCTGGCAAGAGGGTGCGACGCGTGGACGTGGCAATCGCGACTATCGGTCAAAGACGATCTCCCACATCAGCTGCCACGGCGTGGTTTCCGGCGGATCGTTAGCGGCGTGGTTCGTTAAAGGCGAACGCGAGCGGTTCGAGGCCATCGCTAGGATCGTCCATCCACCGTTCCTCCTTCGGAAGGAAAAGCGGTGGGACTCCGGCAAACTGCTACCAAAAAACCAGACGGGCTACCGAAGAGAAGCCGATCGTTGGTATCTACATAGGCAACGGTTATAGAAACGGTGGACGCGCGCGGATCGCGCGGAGAGCCGCGTGAAAGAATGGCGCGGACTCGCGGCCGGTGAGCCGGGTGTCCGGGGCTGGCTGGAACACGCGTTCAATCTCGCTCTCGTTTCCAGGCTATCGATCGTCCGACTTCAGCTGTTCGTCCTCCGAGACGTCAAAGGGGGTTCCACTGCTCTATTTTCCGCCGCGAGAACGACGCCCACGGACGACGCTGCACCGCAGGCGGGAAGAGAAAGTGCAGCACGCGGAAGGGAGAAAAATCTATATGGAAGCAACAGGATCCGCTCTTTGATCGTGTTCTGCGCGCGTTTCCTCCGCTTCTACCACCTCCTACGTCTCCTGCTCGCTCTTCCTTCGCGCGATCGTGTGACGGACCGAGAGGGACACGGCGAGGGAGAGAGGGAGAGAGAGAGAGG